GGGTTCTATCCTCCCAACACATTCCAGATCTGAGCCCTTCTGATGCGGCCGTGGCAGGCCATTGTCATCTCTTACTTGAGTTAGCAGAAAAGCTTTCTTCCTGGTCACCAGGATTCTGCTCCTGTCAAGCCCCCTCACTCAGCAGCCACTCCTTGCACCTGGAGGGAAAGCCACAACCTTGGTGCAGCAAGCCTGGCTCCTGTCATCTCTCTACTCTCTTTACTACCACTCACCTCCTCACTCCTTCTGCTCCAGTCTTGGTGTCCTTGTTCAAACAGGCCTTGTGGGGGCCGGGGATATAGCTCAGTGGCACAGCACCTGCCTGGGAAGCACGAGGTTGTGAGTTTGATTCTTGGTACAAAAAAAAGAAAACAAGCCTTGTAGGCTTCACCCTGGCTACCCTCTGCTGGGAATGCTCTTCTTCCAGATATCCCCTTGTTCAAGCCTTTACTTGGGTGTCACCTCCTCAGTGACACCTATGCTCACCACTTCAATACTGCAACTTGGGACTGGAGGTAGAGCTCAGTGGTAGAGCAAATATTTAGCAAGCTTGGCCGGGCGTGGTGGCTCACACCTGTAATCCCAGCACTCGGGAGGCTGAGGCAGGAGGATCGTTGTGAGTTCAAGGCCAGCCTAGGCTACAAAGTGAGCTCAATGCTAGCCTGACCTGCACAGCAAGACCCTGTCTCAAAAAGACAAAAAAAAAAGCAAGCTCGTGGCCTTGGATTCAACCCCCAACACCAAGAAAAGAAAGACAAACAAAACCAAAAAACCCTGTAACTTGTTTTCCTTTCCACTTTTCCAATCTTGGTCCACCTTAGCTGGCTCTATTTGTGCCACTTAATACTTATTGTAATGTTTGTTGTTTGTCCTCCCCTCCTTGAAAATTCTTCCAAGGGCAGATCTCTGTCAGGTTTGTTCACTGATATTCGTGCAGAGCCTAGATTCAGGTCTTGCACTTACTAAGTGCTTAACAGAGATTTGTTCAATAAGTTTGCAAATTTAGAGTCGGGTAAATGTGTGGCAATGATTTATCTTTGAGGAAAATTAGGTGGCTTCAGGGATGTAAATAGGTGACATCTAAACTGGATCTTGCAGGGCTGGGGATTTAGCTCAGTGGCACAGTGCCTGCCTGGCAAGCGCGAGGTCGTGAGTTCGATTCCTGGTACCGGAAAAACCCCCCCAAAATAAATAAAATAAAATAAACTGGATCTTGAAGTGCACCTGGAAGGTGAGTTAGGTAAATGGGCACCCCATCAGTCTGAACAAAATCACTGAGCAGAGAGCACTTGGTGGTAAGGCAAGGCTGAGGCAAAGGGTTTCATTCCATACTTAGTTGGAGTGGATATAGCAAGGTAATTTGAGGCCACATTGAGCAAAGCTTTGAATGCAGGCTAAAGGCGTCTCCCACAGCCAGCACCAGCTACATAATTTATGGGACACAGTGCAAAATGGAAATGAAGGTGTCTCTGATTAAAAAAAAGGAAAATTCAGAACAGTGATAGTGGTGTATTAACCAAACTCAAGTCTCTTCCAAGCACAGGCACTGGTGTGTCTGAGCAAGTCATAAACCCATGAAGCCCAGTAGGGAGCCAGTGATAGTCTTTTAGCAGAGCAGAGATGTAACTGGAGCTGGATTTTAAGATTATTCTGGTGGTTGGCTTGGAGGGAGTTCGGCCTGGGAGAACGGTTAGGCAGGCTTCTGCATAGCTAGTGAGGAAGAAGGGAAAAAAGAGGTAGGGGTGGGGTCTGCAGGGCAGAGTGCAGGGATGAGGCTAGGTTAGGGCGTGAATGAGAAGCACAGCGGAGGGGGACCCTACATAGATGAGATAAGGGGCTTGGTAGAGACCCTGAATATATGATCCTTTGCTTCTCCACCCCTTCCTCTCTTCCCTGCTCTCCAGATCTTGGTCTTGGAGGTGATCAGACACAAGGATCAACACCGTACCTCCCTTTGGCCACCAGAGGGCAGATCATTCTCACGGATTTTTCAAGTTGAATTTGGGGTGGGGGAGTGGAAAATAGTCCTCTCCCTCTTTTGCCTTTCCGCAGGTGAGCCTTCACCAGAGTCTTCCCCACTGGGTGGGTGCCTGGCAGGAGCGGGCGGCTCATGAGGAGGAGTGCGGGAGTCCTGTAGATTTACTAAGGCTGTAGGTGGTACCTCTTGCTTAGGAAGTACTTGCTTACCCTCCTCTTTGCATCTCTTTGGTTAGGAAAACAAGTTACAGGGTTTTTTGGTTTTGTTTGTCTTTCTTTTCTTGGTGCTGGGGGTTGAATTCAGCCCTGTCTCTGAAGTGACAAAGGACTCAGCTCAGGAGGTTGTCGCTGGGAGTTTGAAGTCAACTATCAGAGGTCAAACCAGCACTTTCCCCATAATCTTTGGGTCTTCTCTTCTGTGCCTGTAAGACCTGTTGCGTCCTAGTTTCCAGCTCCTGTGGGGCCTCTGACTCTGCCCACTTCAGACTGAGCCCCGGGGAGGGAGTCTGTAATACGAGTGGGACAGCTTGACATGGAGAAATCCAAAAGGCTATGGCCTGTCCTTGCTGGGAGAGTCTAGGGGAAGTAAGAACTGACCTGGTTACTATATACTTTCTGAGCATAGGATTAATTTTGTCATCAAGAATATTTCTATTGATGAACTATTAATTTTAATTTCATGAGTTTTATTTTATTAAACAATGAGTACTTACAAGAAAAAAATCTCACAAAATAAAGTATTTTTAATATGTATTGAGTTCATAAAAAATATCAAGATTTTCTTTTTTTTTTTTTTGTCTTTTTGAGACAGGGTCTTGCTGTGCAGGTCAGGCTAGCATTGAGCTCACTTTGTAGCCTAGGCTGGCCTCGAACTCACAACAATCCTCCTGCCTCAGCCTCCCGAGTGCTGGGATTACAGGCATGCGCCACCACGCCCAGCTGTTTTGAAATTACAACATTTCATTTGGAATTTCTGCTTTGTCTCTGTGTACAGTGCCTATGATGGTCAACTTGTGCTCTGTTAGCAAATGTAATATCAATTGGAAACCAGTAAAGCAATTGTGGACTATCACAGTCTGATTAGTTTGGGAGACGGGAGCAACAAGTCTGTTCACAACATTATTCAGTTTATTACTACATGAATAAAGAGCTGATGACTGAGTTCTAGGATAAATGTCTACACTGAAAGCATAATAAGTCTTTACTCATACTTTGGCCAATGCTTTTCCGTTAAGTCTTTCACATTCCTTCGATCACTGTAAGAAATCTGTGCTAAGTACAGCAGACCTATGAATGCCTGCAGTTCAGCTAGTGAGGTGTCATAACAAATACATTTTTTAATATGGCTATTGGTGGACACAAAACTTTATTTGCATTTCAGCTTTTGTGTATTTCACAGCATCTTGTAGCATTTTGTCTGTTACAATTTCCAACACTGAATGACAGTGCTGCCACTCTGTCCAATATGTTTCACCCCTGCCATTTGGTTGAACTTTCCCTTTGGTTGCATGGCTATTTTACATTTTGACTAGTCAAATATGTATTCACATTGCTGTTTTCTTCATTATCTGAATCAAGGAGACCTACATTCCTTGAGTCTGTATCAGTCAATACTTGCTCCATTTCTCTGTCACAGGAACTTTGGTTCACATGGCCAATGTCAAAGTCATCATCGTCATCATCATCATCATCTACCATCACACCATTCTTCTGGTATGAAAGCATGTATTTTACCATAATGGATCATTTTCATCATCCACGCATGAGTAGTCTGATGATTCACTTTTACCTTCTCCAGAACTTGCAAATTTGGTTTTTCATTTACCATTGTACTGAACTGGGCTACTTCTACCAGAAAAATCAAAAGAAAATTTTTTTTTCCTTAACAAATTCTGGAATGTGGTGGGTCTAATGGACCCTCTGTGATGCTCAGGTTAACATATGCAAAAACTGTTCCATGGAGCATAAGGGTGGGTCCAAATCCCAGTTTGCCATTTTTGCACACGTGTATACTTCATCATACCAAGTTCATTACACCTCAGGGAAAGGTATTGAGCTGCGCACAGCCAGCTACTATAAAGCTAAAGCACAAATTCACAGTAGAAAAGTAAGGGATGGGTCCACTGAACTCAGACTTATGCCTCAAGAGTCAGGAGCTCTCCAAAGCGGAGAAGGACCTGGGCTCAGGAGTCCAATAACCTCAACTAACTAATAGGATAACTGAAGCCTATGGTAGGAAAGAGGTTCTTTCTTGTGTCATCCTGAGGAATCTTTTTTTTTGGGTGGTGCTGGCGATAGAATTTGGGCTTGTTTATGAAAAGCATGTGCTCTACCACTGAGCCAGAAAATCATTATTTTATTTTATTTATTTTGAGACAGGGTCTGTCTGTGTAGTCCAGGCTGGCCTCGAATTTGCCGCGATTCTCCTGCCTCAGCCTCCTGAGTGGTGGAACTACAGGCAATTATGGGGGTGTGCCACCACGCCAGGCAAAATCATTATTTTTAAAGAGTTCTTTCTTTTGCCTCAGAAAGGATATAACTGAAATGTGAATTAGGATGAGCATACCTCTCCTGACTTAACCTTAAAGGCCACTTAAAAAGTAATTAGAATTCAAAGATTTTATTTCAAATGTCAACGCTGTAACAGAGGCATGGATCCTTCAATATAGGGCAGAGGAGTTTAAACTAGAGATCTGTGATTTTTTTCCAAAGCACACAGCATTTTCATCGGCAGAGGTTGGGCTGAAACGCAGGGCCCTGGATCTTCCTGCCAGCCCAATACAAAGCACACTGGCCTGGTGTCTGTCCCTGTGGACATCCGCAAGGATGTTGGAAGGGAGTAGAAGCCAAGCACAGACGAGGGCAGGAGGATGTTAGGTAGACAGGTAATAGACTGAGGCGAGGCGGCGTTTGGCAGGTGCCACACATGTTGATACAAAGCCTGGATGACGAATAGAAGATAGATTTTACAAGCTGACCGACAGCCCAATAAACAAACTGACAGGAAGTTACTTTAGAACCAAAGGGTGACAATCACAAAGACTGGTAACGGCTTTATTTTCTATTCAGCCAAATAGCACGCACAGGTGACCCACGCTTCCTGTTTAAAGGTTTGAAAATGCCCGAAAACTGACGAAAAGAAATGAAGAGTGAGTCCGTGGAAATCTCACAGAGAATCGACCGGGAGCTCGGCTGGCCTCGGGTGTTGCCGGAAATGGCCGACAGCAGCCTTTAGCAGAGCGGCGGGACGGGGGCGTGGCCGGCTCTTCAAGGCTCTGAGCTCCTTCGGGTGTTTCCGGAAACTACCGAAAGTCAGCTCAAAGTGGGCGGAGAAAAACCGATGGGCGTGGCCAAATGGCTCTTGCGTTCCGGGAGTTACTTCGTGAGTTTCCGTAAATAGAGCCGAAACTCGTTCTTCGGAATACAGGAGGCGCGCAAGTCCCTGGGGTTAACATTCTTCGGCTGTTTCCGGAATTCAGCCCTGCCGGTAGCCGAAAGGAGACGGCGTTTCCCCCCATCCCGTTCCTAGACGCTTCGGATGTTTCCGTCTCCTGGCGGCGGAAAGAGCCGAGGACCGGCGGTGGTGGCGGCCATGTTGGGAGCAGCAGGTCCGGCGGCGGCTGTCTGTGTGCCGGGCGCGGAGCAGTGCCGCTGAGGGCAGGGGAGGAGCGAGGCAGGCGGCCGGCTGCGGCTGCAGAGAGTAGGCGGAGCAGCTCGGCCCGGCCGAAAGGCTGCACACCCCAGCCGGGGGTCGCGGGGGGGTGCGGTCCAGAGCCGCTCGGAGCCGGCGCGGCCTAGCCCGAGCGGCGCATCCCCGGGCTGGCGTGAGCGGCTGCCCGGCCTCCCCGCACCCCCGGCCGGGGCCCATGCGGCGGGTGCGCCTGCTGTGAGAAGCCCCGCCCGGCCGGGCCCCGCGCCGTCCCTTCCCTCCTTTCCTCGAGCTTCTGGGTCCCCTCCCCCGAGATACCGGCGCCATGTCCAGCGCCCGGACCCCCCTGCCCACGCTGAACGAGAGGGACACGGAGCAGGTAAGGAGCCCCGAGGCTCCCGTGGTTCTTTGGCCTGGCCCTGCACCCTGCGGAGCCTCCTTCCTTCGGGGCTGTCCCGCAAGCCTCGGTCGCCCTGTCACCCGCCTCCGGACCCTCTCGTCCTGACTCCGAGCTGCACTTGTCCTGCCACCCCCCTTTCCCCTCACCGCCCTCCTGCGCTCTTCCGTGTCACCTCCTCAGCTTCCCCTGCTCTTCCTTTTTTCGATCTGGGGCCTTTTCTGGTCTTCTCCACCTACGCTTAAAACAGCCACCCCCCGCCCCTCGAAGTACTGCCTGGTGATTTGCCGTGGACTGTTGTCCACCTTTTCCTGCCTCTTCAGCCTCGGTGCCCCTGCGCCCACACCGGTTCTTCCAGTCCCAGTTATTCACCCTCAGGGTCCTTCCCTCGAGTGTGTTCTCCGCCCCTATTCCTTTTCACTTCCCCAGCTTTTTCTACCCTCCTTCCCTTTCCAAACTCTGCTCTCCCTCTTGCCTGCAACCCACCAGCTCCACCCTCATCACCTTTCCAAATCGTTCGCCTACTCTCTGCGCATCACTTTCCCTTCTTTTCGCCCTGGTTCCTGGTGCTGGCTTGTGTCGCTTCCGTGTTCCCCGTATAGCTGTCATGCGCGTAGTTTTCCCACAGGTTGCCTTTGGGGCTCAGTCACTCCTTTCACTCCCTGTTGTTCTCTTTCCCCTGGGGTCTGGTTTTTAAGACTTTGTGTCTCCTGTTCCTGCTGTGAGCGTTCTTCCAGCCTCCTCCCTGGGCTCTTTCTCCGCGGTCGAGGGCACGGGGTGTGTGTGTGGGGGGTGGGGGGTGTCGAGGTTCCCTGTTTCAGCCCCGCGGTAGTAACTTAACCTGTTGCTCAGTCTGTCCTCAGCCTGGCTATTCCTGCCTTTCTGCCTTTTTAACCCTGCATCAGAAACCAGGATGCTTTCTGCCTTTCTGCTCCCTGTCTGTCACTTAGTATCTTCCTTCTTGCTTATTGCTTCCTGTTGCTAAACCTCACCCCTATCTTCCGTGTTGCTTTTCGTGTTCCTACGAGACTCTCCTGGCTTCTTCACTTTTACTCCTTTCCCCTTCTCATATGCCCTTATCCATTCCCTTCCTACTGGCTAGTCTTTTAATTCTTCGGAATTCTACACCTTTGCCACGCTAGTTTCTTATATTGTAGATCAGTCTCCTGATCCTATATCCCGCCCCCCACCCCATTCCTGGCAATCACTGCTGTAGTTTGTCATCCAAGCTTTTGCCTTTTTGTGTCATCTCATCTCTTAGCTGAGAGGCGTCCACTTTTCACCCCTCCCCTTTCTTTCACCATCTCCAGTGTCCTTTACTGCTTGCTCTTTGGAGAGTCCCCTGCCTACCAAATCTTTCTTGGTGAACTTTTTTAGAGCAAAAACAAAACGAAAAACTAAATCCTTGAAAAAGGTGCTCTTCTATCTTGTGTGGCTCAGTACTTTTCGCATTCTTTTCCTTTATTACATCCTTTATGTTTCCTTGTTCTCTTTTTTCCTTGTAGCCTATTAAGGTAGATCTGTTGTGTCATGTTAATTTCCTTTTGGAAAAATCTTGTATCCTTTCATTTACTATGTTTTTCTGTCTTGTTGCCTTTGCTTCCTGTCACCTGGGCAGTTAGGAACTCAGGAGTCTGGACGGAGGTTTTTTTCTGCAGTGGTTGACCCTTTTATTAATTATGGACTGTTTGCTTGTGGAATGAAGCTGGGATTGAGAGGAAGGGGTGGCTGATTTGTTTCCTCACTGGCTTTGGTAGTTGGTTCTGCGTGGGATGGGTGTCTTTGGAAACCAAGGAGCTCTGTCTGTGTCACACAGTTCCTCCTTGCTAGCTGGCTCTCTTCTACCAGGAACAACTTTCTCTAGGCCATCCTGAGGTTGCTTGTTTCATCCCTTTCCCTCTCGTAAGCTTTGTTTTAGACCATCCTTTACCTGAGAACTTTTCCAGACTGTTGATTATGAGCTGGTCAGAGAGGAGGCCAAGTGACTGACTGGCACCCTCAGGCATTTGGGGAGTGGCTGGAGTGCCTACTCTCTCTGAGGCTGTAGGGGCATTGTGTTCAGCAGAGAGAGTAACAGACAGGCTCTGTGGTTTCTTTGTGCTGTTTACTAAATGTAAATGCATTATTGTTAGGGTTTTTTTGTTTGTTTGTTCTGAGGCAGGGTCTCATTATGCAGTGCATGCTGGCCTTGATCTCACAGCAATCCTCCTGCTTCAACCTCCCAAGTGCTGGGATTACAGGCATGTGCCACTACGCCCCCCTGTAAATGCATTATTGCCATGATCTTTTTCTTGTGATGTGTGCACTGATTTCTTCTCTTCCTTACATGGCTGACATACTCCTGAGCCTGTGGTGAGGACTCAGTGCATGTCCACTGATTTCATGATAGCAGTAATCAGTGACCATTTTGGAATGTAAGCTGCTCTGTGGTAACTTTGTCCCAGAGCAATGGTTGCATACATTGAGACCTTGTTCTAAAGTATGAATTACTCATCCTGTCTCTATGCCTTATGGACTTAGATTCCCCTGAGCCACTTCAGGGTTCTCTGAGGTTCTCAGCCAGTCACACTGTTGACGTCATGTAAAGTTTCATCCCAGTATAAAGCAGGATCTTTGGAAAACCCGGGAGGCACATATTACAGGCAAATGCCTGTTTTTTTGAGGGGGTTGGGTGGGGTATTGGAGATTGAACCCAGCGCCTCACACATGCTAAAAATGTTATACCACTGAGCTACACCTTTAGCCCCTGTGTTTAAAGCAAGAAAGGAGACGAACAGGAGCTCCTTTGGTTAGAAGGCCAGGGTTGTCAGAAGCATTGACCTCCTTTAGAATAGATCATGCCACCAAATGAAATTAGGAACCCTCTTCTTGGACCTGTTCAGTTTTAGCCAAAATAGTCATGGAACTCAGTCATTGTACCCTCTTAATGTTAGAAAATAAAAAGCAAGGGATTTAGGGCCATTTTCTTTTCCTCAAATGTTCACTATCACCTATTTAGATTTAAATTATTTAAACTAGCCTTACCAGAAAAGAGGTAAACAAACTTTGTAGTTGTCTCCAATCTTTTTTGCTCTTTCCTCTACTCCTTACTTAAAAATGTGGTTGATAAGAAGCTGTTGCTAGCAGCTCTTTGATCACATCTGAAGCACACATAGAAATTGTTGAAGCATAAAAATAAACCTTGTGTTGCAGAGAGATTGCCTGTTTGCTGTCATCTCTGCTTCTAACAGTGAAAGTAGGAGATAAAGTCAAACCCTGTCTTTAAGATGATTTTTGAGACACCTCGTTCTAGATGTACTTTTTCACAGCCGTAGACTTCTTCCTTTTGCAGAAGGAGGATTCTGACTTGTGGCTGGTAGTTTTGGGGTTCTTCAGTCTGGGAGTTGCATTTTCTGTTTGCTTTTTTACCAAATAGCTCTGTTGTTCTGGAGGCTTGGCAATCTTGAAAGCAATCAGCCAGTTGACTGTTTTCCAAGCCAGCAGCAGCAGTAACGGGCACGTGTGGAGAAGGGTCCAACTTGCAGAGTTCATCTACTGCAGACTAGACCTTTCAGTAAACCCTGGGGAGGTTATACATGGTTTGAGACCTGCCTATCCTCTGGGCCTCAGGAACTTAGAGCAAGGGCTTCTGAGCCTTTTATTACCCACCAGGCTTCTACTTAATGGACAAGGAATGGTGCTGCCGTCACTGTTCTAGGGAGTGAGTGGTGCTGTATATTCTGTCAAATCCTTTTGTGAAGAGGGCAAATCTAAGTTATAAGATCCTGTAAAAAAACAGCTGAGCCACTTCCCACACATACGTATTGGACCCCAGTGATGAGCATGTCCAATGCAGTGAATCCAGGTTGATGGGCTGGTTAGCCAGCACCCTACCTGCTAGCTGTGCAGCATTATGCTTTGGGTGCTGGCACTCATCCTGTGCTGTGAGTCTGGTGGGGGCCTCTTGCTGGGAGTTGTCGTCTGGCTAGGGAGGTGGGTAAATGTCTGACCATGTACACTTACCCTCTGCTGGCACAGTCCATGTCCATAGGGTTGCTGCACCATACCCTTTCAACTTGGGGAATATAACTGCTCAGTAAATTATAATTTCTTCAATCTGTGGACTAGGGAAGTAGCTGAACAGTTGAATAAAAGCCCTTAAGAATTGGCCTGCTTCAGATTAAAAGCAGGCTTAATGCAGAGATAGCTGCCTTGGGGATGGTGACCAGTGATTGAGATTTTTTTTCAGCATGAATGTCTTAAGCAATATTGATGCCTTTGTAGTGAGAAAAGATGGAGAATTTGTTTGCCTGAGAGATTTGCATGGTGCGATCTCTCAGGAGTCAGACATCTCAGCCTAGACTGTTTCCCCTTCGGACAGAACAACCCAATTCTCAGTGGGCATTGGACCAGTACTAACCTAGGCCTCTGTGAACTCTTTCCCATTGAGCACTTAGCCACCTGGCTGGCATTTCTCTTCTCCCAAGAGCTTCCATGACGTTCTTCTATATGTATTATGTCGGCTTGAATGAATATTTTATGCCTAGAGTGCAGCCAAGCCTCAGACTTTGTGGCCCATTATCCTCAAGCTGGGTGGGGGCTGGGCCCCACCTTTGGCAGACCCCATGATAGCTTCTCTGCTAAATGGACTCCCCCCCGCAGCTGCACTTTGAAGTCCATTAGTGAATTGGGATGAAGTAACCTCAGCAGATGGAAAGAGCCAAGAAGGTGGTCATATTCCTTTCCCGAGAGTGCCTGATGAGGCTCCTGCGGTCCCCAGGCCCAACCCCAACCCCAATTCCCTCTGCTTGGTTAAGCTGTAGGCTGGGCTGCCCATCATCCAATCTGAGAGGGGATGTGCAAAGCATCTGACTCTTTTAGCTGTGGTGGTGCCACCAGGCACTTATCAAAGCAAAAATTGAGGGGGATGTGGAGAGGAGGATGAAGTTTAAACCAGGCCCTTCCTCAGAAGTACAGCAAAATGACAAATCAGATAGGTGGCT